CATCTGAAGCAAGAATTTATTTGGTGAAAAAATATATTAACGTAACAATGTTTTTATACTGTTCAACAAATGCTCTTGACCTATGAGAAGCACGAGGAAATAAATAGGGTCGTGTTTACAATTTATTGTCAACCCATAGATGGAAAAAAATTTAATCTAAGATATGAACTCAATTTAAAGTCGCCGTAATCGTTCTGTAAATATTATTGAAAACCGTATGTGGAAATTCGGCGAAAAAACTACCAAATCGAACACATATCTATCAACGTTAAGTGATAATTAATATGTATACAATTATTAAATGCAAAAAATTGATGAAGCTTTTATTTATTTATAGTTTTAATTGATTAAAAGTCCCTATTTTCTGTGATATACATTTATATTTTCTATGAGAAATGCATATTAAAATGAACTTTCCATTTCTACACAACTTTTCTATTTTTTCAAATAATTTATTATCCAAAAAAGTGTTTCATTTCATATAACGACAGAAGTGCCAAATAGAGTTTTTACACTTTTACAGTTATAAAAGACACGCTGTTTTTTTCTTCTTCTTAAGTTATGATCCTGGTCGTTTGTAAAAAAAAAATGTGTTCTTTTTCTTTTATTTTCTTTTTTAAATATTTTGTTACCCAAGAATAGCTTTATCTAACAAAAGTATACAATTGAATTTTTATAAACTAGTTGTTATAGCCCGTCGTTTACTATTCGAACCAGGTTCTTCTGTCCTCTTCAATTGTTTAAAAAATTGTGTTCCTTTTGATCTAATGCTGTATAAAAATGGCCTCCCGATTATTATTTTTTTTTCTCAGTCAAGGTCCTGATTATGGTTTAAGATCTTGAGTGAATAGAATTTATGATTTTAGTTCTATTGTTAAAGTGATTTGATATCTAAAATGTGTTTTGTTTTATTAATCAGTAAATGTGAAAAACTGTAATTATTCCCCGCTTATTTTTGGGCCATTTGTCCTATTAGCTGCATTTTCTCCATTTAACTTTAATGCATTATTTTTTAGTGAAGTTAGTAAAATAGTAAAAAAAAATTTTGTCAAGCATAAAGAAGAGAAAATTAAAAGTTCTTTCAAAGTTTCAAAATAAATTTGTTTAATAGTTATAAGCTTTTATTTGTGATCTTTAAATGCTCATTATATGATTTTTTTTCCTCCTAGATGCATAAGAAATGTTTCACTAGTCCATTATATCAATGTATCCTCTTTGGTAATAAACAACATTTAGACAGAATCAAATCTCGACCCATTATTACAGTAAACTTGATAAAAATGTGATGCCTATTTTTAAAACATATAAAAATAATATTGTGAATAAAATTACACAAAAAAAATAATCTATTTTGGAATTAAATTATATATATTAAAACTTCAATTGCATAAAAATATCAGTAGTTTAGGAATTTAATATATGTCAATAAAATCACATTGTCAATAAAATCAATGAAAAAACATTTAGATTTGTTTCTCAAAATGCATGATAACAAAAATAATTACTTACTTCTTTTACACAAACATCCTCTAAACTAAATCAAAACATCCACTGGTGCACTTGTCTAGAACATTTCGAATTTACGAACGCCTTTTCTCAATCACATTGTTGCATTGAAGTTCAACCGAATGATCTAAAGGTCGATATTTCTTTTTTGAGGAAGACAAGAAAATAAACTGACTAGACTAGTTACTATTATAAGAAATGCATTTATTAACCTTGGAAATCCCCTACTCTATAGGTGAAACATGTTTTTTTTTTCAACCGGGAAAACAATAAATTTCTTCGTTACCACAGGAAACAGGATATGTGATGCAACGGAACTAAACCATTGTAAAAGAACTATCGATAAAATCGCATGGATTAAAATAATGAGCTTATTTTATTCTGGTTATTCAGATAATCCACAATATTGCTGATCAAATTATGCAAATAATCTATTAGTGGCAAAGATAATTAAATTAAAAGCACACGAATCAGTTATAAATATTGTAACCCTTGGCATTAAACTAACTTAGAACAATTTATTATCATGATTTTAAGGTCAACATTTGACTAGAAGAGATATTTCCAGAAAGCCTCTAATAGCGAACGACATTTTTTCTGCAGCTAGTGATCAATTTATTAATCTGCATTTACTTATATTTTACTAATCTGCAAATTGTTTTTTAACAATGTTAGTTAAAAGTTAAAACTACAATAAAATTATAAGTTTGTTTGCCTCGGATCCTAAAAATTGTTCAAAAATTTCAGTTAGTACGTCGAGTGGATGTGGAAGATGAGCTTTTATCAATTACTATTAAAAAGAGGACGTAAGCTATGTTCGCAACTTACTACTCTATTTAATCAAAAACGAGATGCACTAGGATTTTATTGTACATTGTTTTAGAAATTATATTTTAATTGTCTATGTCAAGTAAGTTAAGTTGGATGGTTTGTGAAAGAAATGTCAACAAATTAATTTTTTTAAGCTTATTTGAAAGCTGGTGTTTATTAGGAAGTCTAAAATTTTATCATTTATTTGCAATTTAATAAATAGTCACACTAATTTTGATTGGCAAAAAATAAATAAAATATAAAAATTAGCATGTCTTTAAGATTTTGTGAGTCAAATTAATCGTTACAGAGTAGCACTAAAATAATTCGAGCTATCTAGGGATAAGATAATTTCTTTTAAATTATTTGTTCAATTTTTTGTTTTTTAAAGTGTAGCATAGTTTTTTTAAGTCTGGTATTTTTGCAGTTGTTTTTTTAGTTTTGAAAGATGTAAAAATTATTATATGAAGTAAAATAACATTAATTTGAATATAATTTAACTTATACATGCTACATTGCAATTACACATACTTGAAATAAATCTACACAGTGCGCAAAGAAATAAATAAGTAAAATAATATAAAAAAAATAATAATAAACGGACCCCTGAATAACTTTTGATCTAATGATCTGATATTCACGTTCTAAAACTCAATCTTAATGGTGCGAGGGAGTGACTTAAGATATACCAATTAATTAGTGCAGAACAAAAACGTACTTTCTTTGAATAAACACACGATATCTTGATTGATTCGGATTTGTAACCCCAAAATATAGTGGGTAGACGCAATCTGGGAAACTTGGGTGCAATAATTTGATCAGGAGAGTGATCCAATGTTTGCACACCTTTATATTAATTTTGCTTTTTTCATATTTCGCCATACCTCAAGAAAATTCTAAACTAATCGAAACATTTTTGCACAAGATTATAAAATTAGTTTATCCAAAGATAATTCTGTATAAAAATAACTTTTGCTAAATATTTATTACTTTTTATTATTATATTTAATGACTGTCGAAATTTTTTTTATTGTACGGCACACAGTTTTTCACATTATTTAAACGAATGTAAAATGGTAAAATACAAAATTTGAGTGAAATCGATCAAATAGTTCCTGAGAAATCAAATTTTAAAAATGCGACTTTTTTAAAATTCGATTTTTGTATAAAATGTACTACTTTTGCACAAGAAGATTATGCATTTATTAGGGGGAAAAAGAAAAAAACCTTGCAACTTATTTAATTTGGAATAAGGAATTTCAGTACATAAATTTATACTTCGCATGTTCTAACAACCTCTAGAAAACAAAGTAAAAAGTGAACTAAATCACGTCAACAGTAGTACTTTTTATATATGTAAACGCTTGCCACTTTTGAACTATTAGATTAAAATAATTCAATCATATTCTCATTCAATTAGCATAAAAATGCATAGGAAATAATGTCTTGCTAGTTTGGATCGCTATTGCTATGATTGCTAGGTGCAACTACAAATTTGAACTTTTTGTTCATAAAACCCATATAACTTCTAAACTATCAATCCGATTGTCTCGATAAATTCTTCAATCAGTTTAGTCAGAAAAATGCGTCGGGAACAATGCATTAACCTAATGAAATCCAATTTTCCTCCTCAAATTATCTTGCCTATTCCTCAAAAAAAAAAAAAAAAAAAAAAAAAAAAAAAAAAAAAAAAAAAAAAAAAAAAAAAAAAAAAAAAAAAAAAAAAANAAAAAAAAAATAAATAAAAAATAAAATAAAATAAAGGGCAAAGCGCGCTGATGAGATTTTGAAGAGTTTTTAGGTATCATTTATAATAACATATCAAGACTTTTTGTAAAAAAAGTATCTTGGATAATAATTTTTATGAAGAAACACCATTTTTTTCGCTATAATTACTGGTCATTAGTTGTTATTAGAAGGGTCCCTTTAAGCAAAACAATGCTAAAAAATATTTCTTATACAAAACCATTCAAACTTTAGAATTAGTCCAGTGAATCAGTCCCGGTGGTTTGTGTCTAGTCACCTTATATTCCACAAAAAAAAAAAAAAAAAAAAAAAAAAAAACACCTGGAAACAATATTTTACTTAACTGTACAAGTTATTTGTCTATCATTTTAAGGTTTGCAAAGAAGTACAAACACAAAATGTACTTTTTGTTCGTAAAATGCTTCTTACTTCTAACCGAATAGTCTCGGTACAGTTCTCATTCGATTCAGCATAAAAAAAATAAAAAAAATTACATTGAAAACAATATAAGTCTTAATAGCAGAATATTAGTTCCTCCTCTTTTTTTCCTTTTCCCACTATAGCCTGACTTGCTATAAAAAATAATAATAAAAAAAAAGAAGAAAAAAAAATGGAACTGAGTGACCATGAAACATTTACCTATATATGACTATGAGTAGGGTACAGGGTGCTTAACATTTAGCCGCAAGTTTGGACTTGTACATTCATTTATTTATTTTATTTATTTATTTTATTTACTGATTTATTCATTATCTTTTTTCATGTCTAAAAATTGAAAAAATTTATTGTTATCTTTATGAAGTGTTTTTGGTCTGATTATGATAAATTAGGCAGCGATTTTCTTTTTTAACTTTAAGTACTATTTTCCTCAGTTTTAACATTTTTGTTGTTGGACTTTTATTTCTACAACACGTGATTTAACGTCATAATAATGGAAGAGCCCAAAAACTTCTGTCATCAATCTATCAATGCATACGTAATCAAAAGAGAAATTCAGTTCTGGGTTTTTAAACTTTACACTCAAAAACCTTTTTCAACGTTTTAAACTGTAAGCATTGTATTTTAAATGTACTAAATTAAAGTTTAAGAATGTAAACGTCATAGCTAGCCCAAACGGAATGATATCAAGCCTAAAATTGATTGTAGATGTCAAATGTCAAACACAAGCACGTATCAGCAGCTGATCTTCTGATATTTGAACAGTTTACTTTACTCTTTGATGTTCAATTTATCTTACTAGTTAATTTTGCTAATTATCGTTTTCTCATTAATTAGTGTTAATTTTTAACAGTTTAATTATGGCAGCGATGATAGATAACATTGATTCTATCTTGGAAGCTCATTTACCTGAGGATGACCTCCGTTATGTAAAAAGAGTATTATATGGAAAAGAATTAAAGTAAGCTATGTATCTTCGTAATTTAGTGAGAAATAGTTTATTAGTAAATTAGTTTATTAGTAATAGTAAATTAGTTTCCTTGACCTTTTTTTTTAATGAAAGATAAAAAAAGTTATAAAAAGGATAAAAAAAAGTAATAAAATGAATTGAATTTATTTAGTAAAATTTAGTTTTACGTTTATAAATGTGTGAATAATTTTCCAGTAAAGTAGAAAAAGATGCAAAGTATGCCTTTTCTATTATTTAAAATTATATAACAGTGCTTTTCACAACCTGGATCAAATTATGATTAATATTGAAAATAATGTCTTGACTAGATAGACGATCATATTCGTTTAATTTAATTATGTTTGATTCACAAGTTTAGTTTGATTCAAAGGTTTAGTTACCACCTTCAAAATAATTGTAAAGTCGTGTCATAACGAGGGGACTATCACCAAATAAAACAGCAGCATATTTTAAAAATTATGCTAATTTAAAATTGATTTGAGGTGAATAGATATGTGGAATAGATATGAATAGACCTTCATCTATCAAAAGATAGAATTGAGTTAACATGTCTTATATGCTAGCGATTTGGTATTTAATATTTGTAGTGATAGTTAGTTATGCCACAGATCCCTATATGCTACCAATTTATCTCATAAACTTGAGTAAATTTTCGAAATGTGAAAATGAAGAGCTTTAAATTATACCTTGCATTACATTATGTTTATCATTGGTAAATTTTTTTGTATTTTCTATTTCACACTTGAAGAGAGATTCTTGTTATTTTAAAGTCATGAAAAATATTTTTTATTCAAAAATTTTTTTTAGTCATTAAAAGGAAATGTATAGGTTGAGGTAAGCCATGAGTTGGTGATGTTCAGGAGTAAGGGTTAATTACACAAAACACTGCCTACAAATATTTTGACTTATAAGTTAGGAAATATTTTTTTGTGTAGGATCGTAACTAAAGGTCACCATGTTTTAGCTACAACTAAACAATGGAAAGCTGGTAAATAAAAAATAAAAAAATATCACAGAAGGGGGCAAACTCAAAAGGTAACATTTGTAGATATCTTAATGCAAGTCACACTATATTTTTTACTTTATTTTAAGCGCTTCAAAAGCAAAATGTCCCCGTATGAGAAGTTTCAGACATAACTAATACATTTTCAGCCCTCAACTTCATTGTGTATTTGATACCTGAGGGTTGTTTACATAGATCACTGTTTATAAGTAATTTATTTTGTAAATGAATTCTATGATACTAGTGTTAAAACACGATAATATATTATTAACCTTGCCCTGAGTTACTTATACAACTTATGAATACGTGATTTATGTAATGAACTGTAAGGGTTCATTACTTATTGAAGAATAAGGCTTTATTATCTGTTTTATCTTTAGGGTTCATTAACAGTTTATTTAATATGACGGATAAAACCATGGTTAAAACTGTCAACTGTCAAAAACTTGTCAACCCGGGTTTTTTACTATAGTGCGAATTTGCTGACTTGTGAGACAAATTTTATTTCAGTTATATTTAATCACAATTTGTTCAAAAAATGAAGTTTGGAAAAAAAAAAGAAGAAAAAAAAGAAGAAAAAACACCAAATAGTTCCCAAGAAATACGAAATGCTTTTTTTTTGTTTATTAAAGCAGGGGTTTGTCAGAAATCTCAGGCAAAAAATAAGCCTTCATTCAGAAATAATAAGTAGTATTGGTTATGATAAATAGAAGAAAAATACGTAAAAATGACATACTAATGGTATATACAAAAGTCGAGGAAAAGCATGTACAAATGTATTTCCTCAATTGTCTAAAAAAATACTTTATATATTTTGAGGTATTTTTCAGTTGAGTGTTTTTTCTTTCATTTATTTAATTTTAATTATTTTTGAATTTTTTAGAAAACTAGAATTTTCTGAAGATGTTTTAGCTGAAGCCACTAGTAAAAATCTTGAACTGAAAGGTTACGTTTTTGATGCATTACCTGAAGATCTTCGACCTCCCCATCTTGTTCGAGTTGGTCTTGTACAACATGCGATTGTAGAACCTACTACTGCACCAATATCAAAACAAAGAGAAGCCATTCATAATCGTGTTCGGGAGATTGTTGAAATAGCAGCACAGTGTGGAGTTAATATTATATGCTTTCAAGAAGCATGGAGTAAGAGAATGCTTTTTTCATATTTCAAGAATAGTTTATTATTGTTTTAGTGTATAGTTTATTAGTTTAAAAGAATAGTTTTTTTTTTATTATTGGGAACATTAACCTCAGAGCGTTTTAATATAAGGTGAGAAAATTAAGGTTATTTCCAGGAATAATGAAGTGGTTTATTTTATGTGTTACTTAATAGAAAAGATGGATTCATTCTAATAACTTTGGGATATTCATTTAAAGTTTTATTGTCTGTTATTGAGTTTTCCTTTATCTAGCTTATATGCTTAAAAAACATATTGTAACATATTTTATATATCTCCGAATTTAGTTTGTTAAAAAAAAGTCGAAAGAAAGTTTTTGATGTAAAATAGTTTAAAGAAGTAGGGAATTTCAATTAATTTTTAGAGAAAAAAAATCCTTTTTGCTCATCTAGGGAAATTCATTCTAAAAGCCAGAACTGAACGGTATAGGAACGACATAGTTGATGCAGAAACTGAATGATATAGTTTGTGATGCCACACTAGGCATTGCATATTTCCTAGTTTTTAAAATTTCTTAAATTTTTTTAAAATCATTCTTTGGAGATCTATAAATTTATAAAAAAAAAAATAATAAAGAAATAAATGTTACATATTTTTTTCTTCTGTGTCCAGTTGGGACATATGTGATGCCACTATAGGCATTACATATTTCCTAGCTTTTAAAATTTCGTATATATATTTTTTTAATCATTCTTAATCGAATTTTAATTAAATCAAACCAATTATTTAATTTTTATTACATTTTTTAAAAAGCTAATATGAAATAATCTTATTCTTTTCTTAACAATCAATGTAACAACTAACTTTTTATTTCAATACTAATGTAAGACTCATTAGAGGCTTCGGCCTTCCAGTCCCAACCATTAAATAGATATCTATAAGATATAGATAATAGAATAGAATAATATATAGATATAGATAATAGAATAGAATAATGGAATAGAATAATATATAGATATAGATAATAGAATAGAATAATTTTTTTCATCCTTTTAAGGGACTTCTTTTCTTTATTTTTATAATTTTAGAATGTGGCCATGTTGAATTTAGGTTTTACATTATAAATCAAATTTTTTCTAAATGATTTTATTAATTTTTCTGGGATAAATATCCTTACATCATATCGAAATTGAAATGCATCTGAGACGGCCATAATACTTTAATTCTACAAAGAAACTACCTCCCACTAACCCCTATGGACTAAGAATTTGGACTAAACTGCTACTACATAGTTATTAATGTTTTGGGATTATATTTCTGGTGTCATAAAATCATTTTTGATGATACAAGTGTCATAAGCATGTTTGGTTTGAATTGTCAAAAATTTGTTTAATGATCTAAGAAAAGAAGGCAAAGGTTAGTCACGGGGGTAAAAAGATTACGTCTATAAACAGTATGAAATTGCCAAGCATGAAAACATACCAAACCTATGCATAATATAGCATACATGTTTTTTTTTTTTTTTTTTTTTTTTTTTTTTTTTTTTTTTACAAAAATCAAAATTAATAAACATTAAAAAATTTTATTGTTGAAATATTTTGTGGATGTAGTAATTCTCTGGATATTAATTATCTGAGTTGTAAACTAAGTATGATACAATGTTTAATATTTTATAGCAATGCCCTTTGCCTTTTGCACTAGAGAAAGATATCCATGGTGTGAATTTGCTGAAAATGCTGAAAGTGGTCCTACGACACTCCTTTGTGCAGAGGTAATTTTTAAAGCTTTTATTTCTATGAAGGAAATGAGTATTATGTATATTTTTTAAATGTTCAATATTTTTCCTCTTCATGTATATATAATTTATATTAAAAAATAAACATATAAATAGTAAGAGTATTTTTTTTCTTCATAATGACTCTTTTGAAAATTCTTCCACTAATCAACCATCAATAATTAGGTGAATATCGAAGAGTTTATGAAATTTCCATAAAGGTATACTGATAGTATGCTAATTAGAGAAAAATATATGAATAGTTTATGAAACAAACACAGTGACATATGAATAGTGTAATATCGCACTCTGTCCAAATAATAATTTCTCAGAGTCTCAGACTCCTGCAAAAGAACGTCTTTTCCTCACAGCCACTTTGTGCTAACTCTCACATATCTTTATTCACTACATCTACACTTGATCACTGGGCCATCACAACATGCAGGCATGACAAATAGTTTAATATAATACAACAATATGGCTAATGCGGTTTCACAAAATAATTGTTATAGTTAACATATTTAACATCCCAAAATAAAAAACTATTTCAATATACTAATTGTGTTTATTACTAATTGTGTTACTAATTACTATATTACTTATTACTTATTAATAATACTAATTGTGTTATATTTTGTAGTTAGCTGCAAAACACAATATGGTTATTGTTTCTAATATTCTGGAAAGAGATGAAACTTATGGAGATACTATATGGAATACTGCTGTTGTCATTTCAAGCTCTGGAGCATATTTAGGAAAATCTCGCAAGAATCATATACCACGTGTTGGCGATTTTAATGAAGTAAGTGTTCAATTAATAAAAAAACATATTTTTCCTAATTATGTTATTAAAGAAAAATTGTAGATAGTTTCAGATTATCAGTTAAAAACACTTATAAAAAAAGTTGTCTGTTCTTATCTTATTACAGTGCCCGCCGCTAATAAAATCACCGGATAATAAAATCAGCCGCTTTATAAAATCAAATCGGCAAGAACCGAATCGTTACAATATTAATAGATGTTAAAAACATCCTTTAATAAAATCAATGCCGCCATTTTTTAAAATCAAAATTTTGACTACATAATAAATCAAAGGTGCAATATTTCAGCTTTTTTTATTCTTATTTATAAAATTTTATTTTTTTGAAGTTAAAGATTTTTTTAGAAGAAACAACAGTTACTCACTCACAAACCTGTGATATACATAGGTGGATGGTAAGCGGCGAGTTCATAGAAATCAATTTATCAATGTTAATTCCTTGACTTAAATGAAGTTTGGAGAAACCTATCTCACTCACCAGGGGGTCGAATTCTTATCTTACTTTTTATTGAATGAACCATAGAAGGGAGAGAAGTTTCTTTTGTTATCTATCTTAACAGAGAACATGAATAGATTTCCAAAAACTGTCTGTGCACATGTTCCATATTATTTAAGCCGTTTGAGTAAATTATAGTTAGAGCACATATCATTTTTAAGTTCGTTTGGTATTAAATTTTATCAGCATGCCGAAAAGGCAGGTTTTGAGTCTTAAAGATAAATTCGCAGTGTTGCAAAACTATGATAAGCTTCCTAAATGTACAATGGGGATGGAGATGGGGCTCATAACTGTTTCGAAGAAATGATCAGCAATGAAGAAAATGAAATGGACGAGAATTTTTCACGTTACGTAGCTATTGACGATAACCTGCAAACATCAGGAGAAAAATCTGATTCTAAAATAGTTACAGACATCAAAAATTGCAAAGTTATTTCCCATCAAGAAATGGAGGAATCAGACTAAGAAAATGAAATAAACTCATCAGTGCCATCTTCAATGGAAGTCAGAAAAGCACTTAATGTATTGCGGCAAGCTTTAGAACAAAGAGAAGGAATATCGAAAACTATAAAAACTTCTATAAACTCTCAAATGATGTTGAAAAGTTAATTTTAAATACTGCAACTCAAGCAACCATTGATCGGTGTTTTGCAAAACTTTTGTAAATTTAATCTTATGTAGGGTTTTACTTTATTAAAATAATTAAATTAGTTAAAATAAAGCATTAATGTGGTCATTATTTCAGCTTTTAAAGTGCTTGCATTTAGAATATATCGTAAAATTTGTTTTTTGATTCAAATGTTGAATCGCCTCTTAATAAAATCAGCCGCTTAATAAAATCAAAAGAGCATAAAACGAAAGTGATTTTAATAAACGGCGGGCACTGTATTACTGTTTTACAGCAACAACAACAACAAAAAAGCTTCAATTTATGTATAGTTTCACGTTTAGCAAATATTTCTTATGAGCCGAGATTCAGTCATGCCCTTTATTCTTCAATCAACTAGACTACTTCAGTCACCTTCTGAAATCTCACAAGAATTGGCTATTTAAATCAAATTCTTAAACTTGACGATTCAAGTTATCTTGTTTCTTAATATAATTATTCTGGTTGGAAATATGTTATTTAAACATATTTTAAGGAAATATTTTTAAAAAAAATTAAATTTAAAAGATATTTTTTTCAATATAAAATTTAGTCAAAGACTATTAAATGTGTTATTGTTAATTTATTCTGTAATTTAAAGCAGTGCCTGTCATTTTATTAAATTTATGCCTGAAACATTTGATTCCTATAAGCGGATGACCACTAATAGTATAACTAATTTGCATAAGAACAGAATAATATTTTCTTAGTTTTGCTTTACAGTATGAGCATAACTGTAAAATAGGACTCAGTTATTCATATTTGTGCAAATTTATAAAAATTAACTTTCTTCTGGAAATTTCAAATAAGTTCGTTACTAAAATTTAATATTAAAATAGTTGAAGTTTATCCTACTAAAAGTCAAAGAAAACCTTTTCTATTTATCAGTCAGAATTGGTATAGAACTAAAAGTTAGTCCTTATTTTCACTGGAAGAAAAGTCTTCATATCCTTACATCAGGCCCTTCTGTATTCTGACAAATTCTGAATGCCATCTCTACAGTGGTTAAAAATAATTTGGCATATAAGGGTAAGAGGAAAAGAACCTAGTGTTGTAATAGAACACCTGATAACGGACAATTTCTTAGAAAGTAGATGAAAGGCATTGCAGTACACCTTTCGACTTAACAGCTTTATCTCACTTTTCAGCTTAACAGTTCTATCTCATTCTTTGTTTTGATGGTCCCGCAGTGGACTGATCATAAAGACACGTTTCCCAGTAGAACACCAAAGTCAGGTATCAATGGCTGTGGTCAGTAAGCAAGTGGGTGACCACTTTGATCAGCCTGCTTAGGGGCATAGGGTGAAAGGTATTGGTCCTCCTTAAACTGTTTTACCATAAAGCGCTTTGCGCAGTTCGACGGGCTACCAAAGCAGGGGAGCTATCCCCTCTGCAGAGGATCAAAATTGTGATGACATGTCTTCAGATCATTCTCAGGGATGTTTCCCAGACCGTTGCCAATAGCCCATTGTGCCGCTCTTGTGTGCCGTAAATAAAGTACCCGTCTTTGTTTTGATTTAGATTTCTTGCTGTCATGAGTCTGTTAACTAAAAAAAATTGAATAATGCCATAATTGATTTGGTACTTATAAATTTGATGATAAGCAAATGGTTCCACTAATAAGTTTATAAACTGACAAGGACTTTAATTCACTAACTTAAAATTTAATCTTTCAAAAATTACTATGGCCAATTATCAATTTTCAAAACCTTTAAAAAATCATTGAATATTATCCTCTTGAATTGGGAAATATTGAAATAATAAAAACTGAAAAATTAAAATAAAATAATTAAAATAAAATTATTAATGATTATTATTCAATGTCAAATTATTGTTATTTATTAAAATTTCAGTTTCAGGCTTTGAAAATTCATTCTACTTAAAGAAAATTGACAACACTTGCATGAATTTAATTAATATTAAGGAAACTAACTGTAATGACGTTAATTATATTTTGAAATGTTTTACATTTTTAGTATAATTAAGTTTGATTTTATATGCAATTTAATACCTACTTAAAATCTGTTGAAATTATTTTGTGCATACTTCTCTTCTCTTAATGGTTACTGTAAACATTACCTATTTCATATGTTATAGATTGTTTATTATTGTTTAAGCTAATTTTTGAGATTTTAACACTCATTTTTAATGCTGAGAACTAATTTTTGATAATAAAATTTATGATAGTAAAATTCATGATAATTCAACATCTGACACTATGAGTATCTTAAGAACTGCACTAATGCTCATATTATTACAAAAATTTAATATTTAAGGCTTTTGACAGTTTTAGACATAACTTTTTGGATTAGAATTTTGGCCATGACAGTTTAAATCATGTTTAAAACATTAAAAACAGTAATACAAATGAAATAAAATTAATTACCAACTCTATTATTTGTAATTAACCTGCTAAGTGTATTTTTTTTATTGCAGCAATTTTAAGTTACATTTTTAATATCTGTGTATTTTGTTTTAGTCTACTTATTACATGGAAAGTGACTTAGGGCATCCTGTATTTCAAACTCGTTTTGGTGAGTAGTTTTATTTTAAAATATATGATAATGAGTTTTTAATGTACACTTTTGTTTATTCCTCTATTCAACTAAATGCATCCAACCTGAATTTTAAATTTTAAGTCTGAAACGTGTCAACTGTGCTGTAAGCATTGGTTTGATCTCCAAAGCACATTGATGACTGGATTACACTGCTGAGAATATAGATTTGTCTCGCTAGTCTGGTTTTACAATCCAAATTTTATTTAACTCTATATATGTGTAGTTAAGTGCTTATAATTATTTAAAGCTAATCTTAAATATGATAGTATGTTAATTTTTATATCTATTTAATGCTCTAAACTTGAATAGCAAATTGTTTTAGAACCTTTTTACATTTTTATTAGTGATATTTCGCATTACTCATTTAATATATTTCAATTGGAATTGAAGTGGGCAATCTTTATACAAAAATAATGCTTATAGTAGTAAATATCTGTGGTTAACAAATAACAGTCTTTGCTCGTATTTAAAAAAAAAAAAAATTAAATTACGAGAAAACCGCAATTTTTTGCTTTCACAATACCTAGATTTATTTTTATATTACAGTGTGTTATAAGCCTACATTATTGTAGAAATCAATATTTCAGTTGCTCTTTATGAAACCAATAAATCAGAATAATAAATACTTAGATTAAATTGAAAACTCTAAAATAATTTATGTCATATATTATGCAAAATATTTTATGTCTAGTTTATAATGAATACATCCTAAACCTGACATATTAACACAATATTTGTAAAATGAAATGCTTAATTTTTATTTTCAGTTTTTATATGATTGCTTTTTATTTAAGCTTAGAAAAGAATTTTAAAAAAAATTGAAAAGTAATTTCAAATTAAGAAAAATGTTTGTTGCTAAAGAAATAACAGTTATTTCTTAAATTGTACTACATAAAATTAAAGTATTTAACAAGAAAAGCTTACACAGTCTGCATAATTGTAATAGATTTTTTTTTCTATTTCATCAGCATCAAAGTTTTTAATTCTTTTTTAGCTTTTTCTTTGTTTTTAATGTTAATTTAAAAAGTATTTAGCAAATTTTTTTGTCTTTTAGTGATGGCAACTTTATGAAAATTTAAACTTGTGTTTCTAACATAATAAAATTTATAATTTTTTAAATAAATAATTGTATACTGTATTATTTGACAGCATGCATTTTTAAGATTTAAAAATTTTTATGATTGCTAAATTTTTTAAATTGAAAATTCAAATTGTTTAGCTCTAGTATTTCATAAAAGCATAGAGTATAAAGAAGGAATCTTGTGTAAAAATGTATCTTTGACTTTAATTAAATCCCTAGAAAAAGTATGTTTGATATTTATATTTAATAAATTTTACTTCATATTTTCTCTCAGAAAAGGAAATTGTGAAAAAAATGCAATATTTTTGATTTACTGAGTTTTAGACTTCAAATTATTAAAAAAAAAATTTGAAAAATTCTAACTTGTATTGAAATTTTTTCATGAATATCATTCGGAAATTCTGGGGAAATCGATGCAAGTTTAAACTATAAAATAATATAAATAACACTAGGGTACAAATTTTTTGTTGCATTTATACAAATACTTGATCTTTGCCTAATTTGAATGTGGGAATTTCTAATCTGAAATTAATTTAGCTTTTAAAGCTAAATATTTTTTTAAAATAACATTTTTAGTTAATTTTTTTTTGTTAAAATGTACAATTTTTAAAGCATTGTATATAATAAGGAGTCATATAAATGTGAGGATGATTTTCTGTGGGAGTTAGGGTACATAATCAGGATTAAAATTGCATGCGCACTTCCCTATTATGACCTGTTCAAAAGTATAAAACGAAACAGTTCATAATAGAGTAGCACTATATGATTTTTCCCGGCATGGGTTCCTATGCAATGTTTATCCAGATGATGTGTCCTATCTTCCTTAGAAGTTTGTCACCACAACATATATGTGATCCCTTGTTCATTTTTGCATTTTAATAGTACATTTTGCTAAAAATTTCCATTAAAAAAAAAAAAATTTTTTGCTTGTAGAGAGAATCCGATTGCTGATTTGAAACTGGCGTTCTGTTAAAAAAATCTCATGCAGCAAGAAACTTTTTTTTCCTTATTGTAATGAACTTATATTAAAAAGAATCCACTTTATTGCATCTATAAAAGATGGACTTTCCAAAATCTCCTACAACATATAAAACAAATTATAAAATTGACTTCATTTTCAGGAAAAATTGCAATCAACATCTGTTATGGAAGGCATCATCCACAAAATTGGATGGTTTATGGACTTAATGGTGCTGAAATTGTTTTTAATCCATCAGCTACTATTGGAGACTTAAGGTAAGCTAAGCACATATTTTTTTTTAGTTTGCTGTCAAAAATAAAAGAGGTGTATTGATAAATCTTAATGTTTTAAAAATAAGCATGTCTTAAACATTCTAAGTGAAATTTTTAATAAAATATTTTTCTAAATCAGTATTCTCAAAATATATTAAAGGTTTTAATTGCTATTGGTTATGGTTACTTGTAATGTCTTTTATGACAACTGTTATGTATTAAGTAATACAGTCAAATGTTGATAATAATACATAATTTATAATGTATAATATGGCCAGAGATTTAATAATTGTCGTATTCATGAGTGTATTTTATTCAATTTCATTGCTAGGCACTTTAATTAAACTGCAATTTTATGGCGCTTTAATTTTTAATAAACTCCCTTCAAGCTGATAACAGAAAGTTTAATCTTATAACAATAGTATAATCATTTTTAAGGTTTTATTTATTTAAATTGCATGTTGTAAATGAGTAAATTTTCCAACATTTCTAACTCTAAAATAAATTTAAGCATGGATATTAATGAATTAAATATTTTTTGTAGTGAGGTAAGCTAATTTTATGCATTCACATTTTATAGTTTTGTGTATTCACAAATTATTCATAAAACCATGATTTGTGAATTGGCAGATTTGAAATAAAGAAATTATCAATAACTATACTTAAATTGACGAGTTTCACTAAGCAGGCTTGCTGGTAGTGACCAGTGGCATTAGAAACAACAACAACAACATAAATTTTAATTTATACTTTTAGAAAAATGTTATTAGAAATACATATTGTGAAATTGTATGTAAAAAAAAAAGAAAGAAAAGAAAGTTTAATTTTTTATATATTCTATTCCACTAACATATATCAAATTGCAAATTAAGATTTTTTTGAACTTTTTAAATCAAATAGAAATTATTTATTCTTATTTAAATATTTTTTTTAATTTAATTTTTTCAAAATCCATAGATTTTTTTTAAATTTTTTTTCCGAAATTTAAAAAAAAATTGTGACTTAAAATAATTTATAATATAAATTATTATAACTTGTAATTTAAATTATAGTTAAACTGCAAAGACAGCTCAACTTTCAAATTAAATTTTCAAATGTTTTTTTTTCTTCATTTTTACATCAAATATTAGAAATTAGTTACATCAGAATACATTGATCTTTCTTTTCTTTAATTTTTTTTATGCATAAAATTTTTAACAACTCTTTTAAAACAAAACATAATAAGACAAATAATTTTGATATAATAAGCTAAAAACGTTTTTTTTTCTTCATTTAATTCAAAGCAGTTTGCTTAAAGAGTTTTTAACACAATTTTCCCACCAATTACTCTGTTTATTTTCATCTGTAAGAAATTAGTTTCTCACTATGTTGTTCAATTCAGAGAAAGAAAACTTTCTTTTTCTCTTAAAGAAAAATTTCTTATCACTCAAATGTTAGTTAATGCTACTATTATAAAGCACCAAATTACTTCTTCCTTATCAGTGTTGCTATTAAACTTCTCATTCATTCTGATGCAATTTTCAGTTTTTGTAACACTGTTTCTTACTATATGTATGCATTTATACTTATTTAATTAATCTTAAATAAGATTTTTTAAGACTTATTCTAAACCAAATTAAATGTATCATTCTTTAAACAAGAATACATTAAGTGGTAATAAGGTTAAAGTAATTGTGATTATAGGCATATTTATATTATTTTTTCTCTTATCCACTGTTTGTTAACATGTTTAAATATAATAAAACTACTTTTCAATTATTTCTTTTGTTAAAAATCATGCATGATTTTGAACAAAAAGTATGTATAGTATCTTTAATTGGTGTAATATATTAATAGTGAACCCATGTGGCCCATAGAGGCAAGATGTGCTGCTATTGCCAATAGCTATTTTACTTGTGCAATCAATCGGGTTGGAACTGTAAGTAATTAGTTTTAATGTTCATATTTAATTTAATTTGTATTTATTTCTGTGATATTTATTATTCTACTACTTTGATGTCAGTTGTTTAGTTACATTGTAATATCGTTATAATGGTTTTAATTAAAATAGGTTTTTATGTTGATATTTTATTTAATTAGTCTGAATCACTTTCAAATTTGATTTATATTTTTGAATTATTTATTTTTCTGCTTTTTTATTAGTTATTGTTAATCTGCATTGCTATATTATAAAAATGGTTTCCATAGTTTAAATTCATTTATATACATGTTAACTTTTAAATTTTTTTAAAACTAATTAATTTTTTTGTTGCCATTTCTTGATAAAATATTTGAGCTCAAATGTATATATAAATGCTTCCAGCATTAAATAAAATTGCCTTCAAAGATAAAGTGGCTAGAATACACCATTGGGATTTTTTTTTTGTACTTAAAATTTTCATTTTTCTTTAATAGAATCTAACTAAGTATGGTAACTAAAAATGTGAATTTTGCCTTGTGAGATGGTAACTGAAAATTGTAGAATTTTTTTGCATGTGTCGTGTTTCTACTAGAAATTTATTGCATTTTAAAATCGTTAATAAGCAATAAGTGTAAAAGTATATCCTCTTTGATTTTTTTGTAAAATTTTCTTGGTTGCACACATATTTATTTATTTATTACAATCGCATTGTGTTGATATGCTGGAATAGCCTGGTATTCTCTTGTGTAACATCAATTTTAGAATTATTCATTTTTTGATAGAGGCTTATAAAATTGTGTTGATTTTGTAAATGGATTAAAGCTGTATTTTTTACTCCTCCCTCAAACCTTGAGTTCTCTAAAGTGCCATTTTTGTTCAAATGTAAACAGACCTTTCTTTGTTTTAGGAAACTTTTCCAAATGAATTTACTTCTGGTGATGGGAAACCAGGTAACATCTCATTTGATATAAATAACAGTATAATGTTTTTGTATTTGTTAAGTTCAAATTGTACAGTGTTTTTAGTTTTGCTAGATTTTTTTTTTAATAGTGTAAACGATAAATATCTGTTTTTTAAATTTTTCTCTTGTGTAGATTTTAGTAAGATGTGTTAGAAACTATCTTTTAAACTTTTTTTTCTATTTTTGAAAAAATAAACTTTTGTAAATACTACGTAAAAATACAGTAAAGTCTTAACATTATTAAAAAAAAAAAAAAAACAAGAAAAAAAACTAAAAGTTTGTTTTCCTCCTAATTATAATTATTAAAAATCAAAGCCAAACTTCCCATGTTTTGTTGTAATTGAATACTTAAAGTTGCTAGTCGTCATCTTGAAAAAAGCTGTTGCCCATGCATTTTAACAAGGTATACTTTATCAATTACTATAGTTTTTATCATTTAAAAAAGTTGTTACTGTAAAAAAACTTTGTTTAGTGTTTGATATTGTCAAATCTTTTTGAGTATTTTGTTTATTTTAAATATTGTTAGTGTGTATTTTTTATTAAAAAATAGCGTCATTATTTTTTTTCCAGCACATAAGGATTTTGGACATTTTTATGGTAAATATGATTTATCAGTCTTAATATTTTTTAAACATTTTTTTGTATAAGCGATTCTTCAGATAATGTGGCATTTGAGAATGAACCATAATTTATGGAATATTATTTTAATGTTTAATGAAATTAATCTGCACACTATTGACCAACATAAAATATATTTCGACATACTTTTTACATATATTCAATGAAGTAAATAAATATGTTAATTGAGACATAGAAAAGTGTTACCTTTAAGTATTTTCATTTTTAATGTTTCTTAAAATAATTTCGTTCAAAATAAAATTTGGCAATGTTAAAATTGTCAGTAATTAACCCTTCAGAATATAAGCATAAATATATCCTTTTTGATTTACATATTAAGATAGACATATAATAAAATAAGACATATAATAAAATTTTACAATCTATGCCAGATACTGAAAAAATTGCACATTATATTACCGTTTTTATTTTTTTTTTCTTAAAAGGATTTATTTTATTTAATTTATTTATAACTTGTATGATTATTTAACATATTAAGTATGCAAATATTTCATGAAATTTCAAATTCTTTCTCTCATTAAGAATGGCCATAATTTAATTTTTTTCTCTTCTATGATTGGTCCATTGTATCTTTTAAGGGACAAAAGTGACCTAAAAGTGAAAATTAACTTAAACAGCAACTAAAGTTAGTCATTTTACCATTTAGGACAATTAATTTTTAAGATACATTATTAACATAATATTGAAATATGGGAGGGTTTTTATTTGCATAAGTTGAATCAAAATTAACTATTTTCAAATGTCTGGCTTGGACTTGTCATCGTAGTGCAACTATTTTGCATAAGACTAGACACTTCTTATTTGCAGCTTTGAAAGTTAAAAAAATCTCTTGTCAGATCTACTAATAAAATTTTATTAATGTTTATACTTTTTAATTTTTAAATAAGTTCTGAGTAACAGAGAATAAGGACTAAATTATTTAGTAGACTCCAATACTTCTTAAGTTCTATATTTTATTGCTCATTTAGTTCATTTTCAACTCGTAATTTAGAGATCATTTATTTTCAGTGTGATAAAATTTAAATAATTTATTACGATTCAATTTTTTTCTACAATTTTCATAAGCTTAGTTGAACTTTTTTATTAACGTTTTTTGTTGTTGTTATCAGTTATAAGAAAATCATAAATTGTTTTATCATGGTCAGTATTAATAACCTAATAATTATTTTTTTCCTGAACACTCAAACGTTTCTAGAAATAGTTTATCTTAATTTAATTCTCATAAGTTATTATTTTTACACATGCTGTTTTTATTTTAATAATTTTTCATTATAGGTTCTAGTTATGTGGCTGGCCCTGATGGTAGTCGAACTCCGGTAAGTTTAAATTATAATAACTTTATGGCACTAATTTTTGTCATGAATTAAAAACACTATATATTATATAATTTATATTTACAAATGTGATTGTATGAATTTTACATTTACTTTACTTGTTGCTTTTAAATGTCATCATAAGAGAAATAGCTGATAAATTAATTTTGAAGAAATTTTAAGAACGGTCTAGAAATTTATACCCTTTTTACATGAATATTCTGTCATTAACTTTTTAATTTTAATAAAATGTTTCATTGATAACAACAACCAATCCTTAACAAATACTTAAATCAATTCATAATGAACACCTATCCTTTTAATCCTTAATGAACTGTTATCTTTGCATAAAAGTAACATCGCTTCTTAACTCACAAATTTTTTAAATCACCACAAGTCAGATTATCCAAAACCAAGAAATTATGCGATGTTTAAAAAATTTTTACTGACGACATTATTTAATTTAATTCTTAAACCATAAATGAGTAATGAAACTTAATACTTTTTGTTTGCTTTATTTGTACTAACATAATGTGTTCTTGGTTTTCAGGGTTTGTCTAGATTAAAGGATGGATTACTAGTTTCTGAAATGGATTTGAATTTATGCAGACAAGCAAAAGATAAATGGGGTTTTAAGGTTTTTAATTTTTAATATTATTGTAGATATCATTATGAATTTAAAAATTCTCTTTGTTTTTCTTTCTTTTTTTTAAACTGAATTTCCTAATTTTCATTGTATCAAGACTTTGCTATCAAGGTGTTAAAATTTTTAAAGCCTTTTTTTTAATTATCTAATCTCTGATTCGCCCCACAGTAGAATGATTTTAAGACACAGTTCCCAATGGACCACTGAAGTCAAGCATTAGTAGCAGTGGTTAGTGAGGGGGTGGGTGACCACTTTGATCAGATTGCAAAGAGACCAAGGGTGTGTGGTACCGTCCTCGTTAAACTGTTTTATCGTAGGTGCTATACTTTGCTGCTGGACCACCAAAGTGAGGGAACCATCATAAGAGAATCACAATTGTGATGGCAGGTTTTCAGACCAGCCCATTGTGTTGCTTTAGTGTGACATAAATAACATGCTAATACTACTAATCTTTAATTTTTTAGCATTTCATGATAAAGTTTTTGAAATTTTTTTCCTGTCTATTACTATTATATTGTTTTTTTCTAATTTGTTCGTTAACATGTATTAAATTTTAAACCAATTTAAAAGTATTTATTTCTATTGATGACAGTTTTGCACCAAAATCAGTTTGAGTAAATATTAGCATGAGTTAAATCTCATTTTTAGTACTAATCTTTGTACAGATGCAATTTATGTTTAACTAATCCTTGAATTTGTAAAAATAAGTACAGCGAACTGTTGACAACTGAGATTTTCTAGTTATTTGAAATGCATCATTTGTAAAGGTTTTTCTTTCCATAATTTGATTAGGTATATTTTTTTTACTCCTTCTAAACATTTAAACATGCTTTGGTTCAGAAATAAAATTATATAAGGACTTATGATAATTAAAAATGTTCTGTGACTATTAGCAAAAAGAAACTCATAAGTTTCACTATTTAAATTATTACCATTCTTTTTTATGAAAAATAATTTTGTTTTGCAAATTAAATTTGGAGAAAAGTTAATCTTAATTAGTTAAGTATGAAATTATGCTTGGCTTCCTGCAAACTGAAAAAAAAAATTGTTTGCAATGTTTATGTTTGTTGTTGCTGTTTTTAATGATTTTATTTTTCAGATGACGCAGCGACTGAATATTTATGCTGATGCTATTTACTGGGCTTCTCAACCAGATTTCACTCCCCAAGTTCTGCATGAAAACTGATTCTGTGTTTGGATGCTTTCTGACCAAGCTATGGATCCTCACTTTCTTTTATCGCCAAATTTTGAAAATTTCTTACTGATACTTGTTATACATTATGAATATTATTGTTGTTAAAATTATCTGATTGTCTTAATATGGTTTTGCTTTAAACTATTTCATATCTTTATGAACAGTTCTTCTTAGTTTTAGAAAATGTTTAAATTGAACACAAACCATTTAATTTATCATATCATTATTCAATCCAAACAAATTTATTTAATGTATTACAATTCACTTTTGTTGCCTTAATTAAAAAGAGGAATTCATATTCTTTATTCAAAATATATAAAAAAGTTAATTTTCTACATTTTTTTTGTAAATTGGTTTTTATATTAAATAATATATTTTTATTTTATTGTTTTAATTTTATGTTATTATTCTGTATTAAGATTTATTAAATGTGCAATATTCTGTACTGTTTGTCCTTAAAGATTTTTTAATTTGTAAAAAATTAAAAATTATTAATTTTATTTCCTCTTGATATTTTTAAAATAGAAGTTTATTTTTTAATATTTTGTATCTGTTTATTATAAATAACGAAATTGTATATTTTTATTATTACTCAGCATAAAGATTGTTTTAAGTGTGCAATATACTATTCTGATTAGATTTTAAATTGTAACAAATTATTTATAATTAAATTGTATGTTAATTAATTTTAGTTGTATAGTAATTAATTTTAATTATATAGTGATTAATCCAAATTCAAGTTTATTTTCTGAATTAAATCTAAATTAACTATTATATCTGTTATGCATTAAAAATTAATATTTTATTTGACATTGTTATTGTTCATATAGGTTTTTGAGGCATCAAATATGCTTTCTCATTTCTACTAAATTTTTGATGTAATAAACGAATAATTATTTCGGTGCAGTGTTTGTTTTCAAAGGCATTAAAGTGGACTTTTTTTTGAAAAGAATTATAATGCTTTTAATTAAGAAACCTTCCAAATTATTTCTTCAGTGTTATTCGGATGATGTTTTTGACGGTTTAGATTTCTGTATGAAATTGAAAATTTTACTTTGGAGAGAAAGCTATAAAAATTTGTGTTAGTTGGTTACTTATAGTACAAAATTGTGATGGTTTAATTAGATGATCAAGTTATAGTGTGATGATTTAATTGCTTTTTATTATGTGTTTTTGGATTTTAGACATTAGCTTAAACAAATCAACTTACGTACATAATCAACGTAAAAAGTTTAGCTATGTCTAGGAAATAGTTATAAATGCAGCTATACAATAAGATGTAAAATAAACCTTTCTTATTTTGATTGATTTTTCATTACCGCATATAAAGTGCGATTGACTTATTGCAAAGGATTTAGCTGTAATTTTTTTAATTGTTACAATCTGTGCTGTCAAACGTTCAGTTTTAAAAAATTTCCCAGCATTTAAACTTAGAAGTTAATCCTTTTTTCTTTGGACAGCTGTACAGGATGCTCTGTAATAAAGTATAAATTAGACTTCAGAGACTGTTTATGAATATATATTAATAAATCACTACTGAAAAAACATTAGAAAACATTAGTCAGAGAAAACACAGTTGAGTTGAAAGGCTATTGTTTGTAACATTCCAAAATTTCTTCCAGCATTCAAACTGTTTTTTATCTCCTTATTTATCAATAATTCAGCAAATATTCGTTTCAATTTTGTTTTTACCTTGTTTAAGTATCTATTGGCAACCTATAACGTTTATCTCTTTTTGATATATATTAAGGGTATTTGATGTATATTACGGGAGGTTTGATATATATATTAGAGGGTAAAAATATGCATTAAGGGGGATTGCTGTAGGTACACCTTCTATATTAATTTTTTTTTCAATTATTTGAATATTATAATTCAATTTTATTTTAATTAAAATTAATAATGTGCTTCACAGTTCATTTGTTTAATTTCTGCCTGGTGTTATTGGATTATATGGTTGTGTGTAGTTGTTTGGAAAAATGTTTTTATAATTTTGCTTTTGCTGATGCATTTCCGAATAATAGCCTGTAAATTTTTATTTTTTAAGGTATTTTCATGTGAAAAATGTTTATTTTTTTTAAATGTTGAAATCATACAAATTCTATATTTATCAGTAATTCAACAAATAGTATCTCTTAGCAACTTATAATGTTTATCTTTTTTTTTCTTCTTATTTTTGTTCTATATTAAGGGTATTTAATATATATTATGGGGTGTATATGCATATTAAGGGCAAGGGATAAAAATTTGCATTAGGGGGATCATTGTGGTACACCCTTTTTAAATTTGTTTTGCAATCATTTGAAAATTATTATTGAATTTTATTTTATTTAAAATTAATAATATGCTTCAACATTTTATTTGTTTAATTTCTGCTTGGTGTTATTGTATTATATGGTTGTGCATAGTTGTTGGAAAAAATGCTTTTGCTGATGCATTTACAAATAATAGCCTATAAAGAATTATATTTTTTAAAGTATTTTTATGTGAAAAATATTTATTTTTCAATGTTGAAATCATACAAATTCTATATTTGAAGTGTTATAATAAGCTGTACTGTAACATTTTTATTCTACAAAAATTTCTTATATTCAATTTAAAAAAATTGAGTTTGTTCACAACAGTTACATAATGAAAAAAATCCTACTGAGAGCCTTACTATGAAATGAGAAAAAAACTGACGTTAAAATATTTCATTTTCAGCACACTTTCAAGAAGTGTGAAAAAAATCAATGTGTACCCTAACTTATTACATTTATGAAATATATCAATTAATAATTTTGATAGTCACAGAAATTCTCTTTCTCCAAAAAAATAAATTGGAAAATTAAAATGGTTTCACCATTTTTTTACGGGTAAAGTTTCCTGCTAGAGTTTTTTTCATATAGGCCTGTCTATGATTGTTATACCTTTCCTCGTTGCAACTTTTTATTATATAATTTTAGCTTCATGTTGCAGATTTACAAATAATAATTAAAAAGACTATATTTGTTAATAAAATCTCTTAAAAATACTGCTTTTTATTTATTTATTATTTTAAAAAAAAACATTGTTGGAACTAGAATAATTTATCAGTTTCAATACAAGCCAAATAAATTGTATTGAGGCATTTAATTATCATTAATTTATCATAACATTTAAATAAATCTCAGTTAATAAAAACAATTGAGCTTATATATCATAGTTGTTGCTTTTTCTTCCTTCCCATTGCAAAGTGTATTGATATATTTTACAAAACTTGATTGACAAACGTATATTTTTGACTGAATTTTGATATTTTTATAGTGAAAAGTAATGTTTGTTAAAGAGCATAGTTTTTTTATTAACTAAATTAAAAAAAAAAATAATGAAATGAAATAAAAACTGAATTAAAAATGAAAAAATAATGTTTTGATCATTTATGTGTCAACAAATAATGAATCTAAGTTAAGTAAAAGAAATAGAGGAGAAAGAATTATATTTCAGCAAATTCGATATGCGATACGGGGCTGTATTAAACCAACGTTAATTAACATTCAGACTTATGTGCAGAAACTTAGATTAACTTAAACACGCCATTTTGCTTATAAACTATCAGCTGGAGCTGACGTCATAAGTCACATGTCTTGTGATCTTCTTGAAGTGCAAGTTCCCTAATAGCGTAGGTTCGTTAATTTTAATGTATTTTAATTAATGAAGACCAAAAAAATCGCCTAAGTTGGTGTATAACCGTCGAAATTCTCCTCAGAGAAGTTTCAGTTTTGGATCCTTATAAAGATCCAGAGAATTGGAAGGATGTACATTAAAAAATTACATCAATGTTACTAAAAGAAAATCTTCATTGTAGAACTTACGGGAACCTGTAGAACTACATTTGAGATGAGAAAACTGGTCTAATTTGAGAAAGTAAGAGCGTAACTCCTTATACTTTCTTAATTTTATTGAAAATGTGAATATAACACTTAAATGAAGCTTATACTAACTGCATATATACTAATTGTACTCCTATATTTATTTAGCTTACTATTGCCAGTTGCAATCTATGCATTATATAAAATGTATTGAGATAGATTACAGACTACAATAATTTAAAAAGAAAAGTGTAAGAGTATGTCAATTTTAATTTCATAATCAAAATACTACTACTGACTTTTTGCTTAGCGCTAATTGATAATGGAAGCAAGCATATGTTTATCATATAACATAAATCATATGAGTCATTTTTTACGTTACGTTTCGCTCTTGCAAAAAAATCAAAAGCGAAATAAAGCATTTAAGATGACCGTGGAGTCATAATGTGGCTAAGGGGATAGAGTGCTCGCCTTCCAATGCAGTGAACCGGGTTCGAATCCCAGCGATGTCTGTTCGATACGAATTCCGCACCCGGCTTTCACCGACCACACAGCGTTGACGTAAAATATCCTCAGTGGTACACGGATCTTGGGTTACAGTCTCCTCGCCGTCAGGCTAACCGTGTAAAGGTTTCGTGGTTTTGCTCTAAATGTAACGCAAATGTGGGTTAGTTCCATCAAAAAGTCCTCCACAAAGGCAAATTTTTCCCAAAACTTTATCCAGGAGTTTCCTTGTCTTCTGGATTGGATTTAAACTTTCAAGGCTACGGAGTTGAACATTGGTAGATGTAAACTCAAAATATTGGTTCGGTTGTTCAACAACGGTTATAAAAAATATTCCAACCTGTCTAATTTTTTTTTTTTAAATTTAACATATTCATATAAATTTAAGTCTTGTTATAAGCACACAAGTTTCGAATTGAGGAGACATATAGCGATTAAAATTTAAATATAAACTTCGATTTATATTTTTTTATTCCAAATCTGTTAATATTTTTTATTATCACATGTTATAAATTTACAAAATAAGCGAAATTGGAAGGATTTTTTAAAATTAAATTCGATATTTGTTCAGATAATGCATTTGTTGCTAGCACCAGATTATACATAATTAAAAGTGTAGAATAAGGATACCAATGCTGATGAGTTTAAAATCGGTAGCAAATTATTAACCATTAACTCAGAAAAGCCTTTCTCAATTAGGGGCGGTGGTTGTAATACAGATGCTAAGTGATTATGGATTTATATAAAAGTGCATTTTATCTTTATTTTAATCCCACGTTTTGAATTGAATCTCCAAATTTTTACAAGAATTTGAGAATACACATCCGTGATCTGGTGTGAAAAATCAACCGAAACATCTTGATTGCAGATAAAATGGAATTGTGTTTCAAATTCAGCTTTTTTAATCAATTGGTCAATATTCTAGTCGTGCTTATGAACTGTAGTAAACTAAGTTTTGCATTTTTGTTTTACCTAACTCTATTTGTTATATCCTTAAAATGACAATTTTTTTCATAAAATATCTGCAAAAAAGGTATTTAAGGATTGGAATTGAATAATGAATAGTTCCAACCTTCATAATTTGTACTAAATATAAAAGACAAAATTAAAATATAAATCAATTAAACATCAAACATTTTCTTTTTAAATAGTGGTATTCTCACAGTTAGAATTTACAAGCTGTGTAAATTGAACTTTGTTTTGCACAAAAAGTAAATAGCTATAAAATATCTGGCTTGTAAGTAAAAGTTTGGGAGTGCATTTGTCAATATCAATCCCATTTTTATTCAGCAACAAGCAAACATACATAGTTTACACATTCTATGTAAAAAAAAAGTCTTTATTACTATATAAGAATTTTAAATTCACTTTTGAAGCACTGTTCGACTTTATGTTTACAAGCAAATTCTTTTTTCGTCACATTTTATGAATAATACAGTAGATGCTGATAACATCGTAGGATTATTCCGTAGGTGGCTGAATTATACTTCTTATCCATTCCATGTGATTGTAAAAATCAGTTGTTAGGAAATAAAGTGGTACATCTGTATTTTCATTCGGTAGCTCATAGCCGATTTCTGAGTCTGTCACTCCAATTACGGTGGTTTTCCCGTTTATGCTGGACATCAGAGGTCCTCCATTGCCAAACTTTAACTAGAAAAAAAAATAAGCACATAATAATTTATGATGCCTTAAAATGTAAACTCAGATATTTAAAGAAAATATCATATTGGATACACCTACGTATCCTTGAAGTTCTGAATAAAACTCTGACGACAAAAGAATTTTCGATGGGATCAAATTCGTTTTCGAAGATGTCATTTTTGATGTTGTTGTTCATTTACGTCGCACTACAGCTGTACAATGGGCTATTGGTGATGGTCCGGGAAACATTCCTGAGGATGATCCGAAGACATGCCATCACAATTTTGATCCTCTGCAGAGGGGATGGCACTCCCGCTTCGGTAGCCCGACGACCTGCACGCGAAGTCGAGCACTTTATGGTAGCACAGTTTAACGAGGACCAATACCGCATACACTCGGTCCTTACGCAGACTAATCCAAGTGCTCACCCACCCACACACTGACCGCAGCCAGTGATGCTTGAATTCGGTGAGCTGCTGGGAATCGTATCTTAACGATCTTAACTGCGGGACCTAAAAACTGACCACCGCATGATCCCGCAGTGAACTGATTGCTTAGACACGTTTCAAAGTAGATCACTGAAGTCAAGCATCACCTGCTGCGGTCGGTATCTGTGTGGGTGACCACTTTGATCAGTCTGCGAATGGACCAAAGACGAGTGATATCGGTTGTCGTATAACTGAACTGTTCCACCATAAATTGCTCGACTTCACGTGCAAGTCGTTGAGCTGTCAAAGCGAGGGAACTATCCTCTCTGTAGAGGATCAAAATTGCGATGGCATGTCTTCGGATCATCCTCAAAGCATTCATTTCTCAGGATAATTCCCAGACCGTTGCCAATAGTCCAATGTGCAGCTCTGCTGAGACGTAAATAAACTACAACAAGCATACGTGTATATATAATTGTACGGATTTTGAGTGCTAAATACGAATCCCTGAAACATGTACGGAAAAGGAAATTTCGAAAGTTTTATGGTAATTGAAGAGCTCAGTGGGATAATACTAATTACATTTGTGAGAAAGAAAATTGGAGATTTTTCTAGGAAAGTACAATTTAACTATACAACATTTATTTAAAGCAGATTATAGTGGATGAAGATAGTTAGTGGCAATTTTATAGTGTGTTCTACTGCGAAGTGAGTCTTATGTGCATTTGGCAAACAACAATAAAAAGAAAAGCCTTTCTTTGTGGCAGCGTATTAAGACTCTAAGGGTGAGAAGATTAAGACGAGAGTAGTTAAAAAGAGTGTTAGGTAAAAGTTTGGTAAACAACGCTAGACAGTATTATTTCGTTAAAAAATATGTTCAGTCTTGAACTTTTTTTAGAGTGGCACCCCTGTATCCTTTAGAGGACACCATATTATGGGAGAAACTTTTCCTCCCAAAGTTTAGTTTTCCACCATAACGAATTTATAGTTAAAAGTATAGAAAAAGTGAGTTCAGGCCTAGAGTAATCCATGAAGTTTCAATTGTTGAAAAAAAATTGAAAACAAAAATGCAAACAAATTATTGGAAGAGAATTTCTCCATTGCATAATCCTAATTTATCTTCGTATAATTTATTTTCATTTTGATATTTTTTCAGTATTGAACCTTTATAGCTTACTTTAGACTTGTCTGAATTCACTAAATTTTAAATTACTTATGAAAGTGAAACAGAATTGAACCTAAGCAGAGAGATACACCGGAAGTTTTCTAAATTTCTTCCGGTTTCAAGAAGTTTTCAGGAAATACAAAATTTAAATCCTTTTTTTTAAAAAATATGTTCTGTTATCTGCTAGTTGATCCATTTTCAATCGTTTTTTCGGATTTTGATTGAAAGTTTAATTAATTAGTATAATGTAAAAATTATTTTAAAAAAATGTAATAACCTTGGAAGTGGTTTGGTCTGAACATATCCCGCATATCAATTCATCTGATGGGTAAGTTCCGTTAACAAATTGTTGGCAAAAGTCCTCAGGTTGAATTTGAACATCAATCTCATACAAAACTGAAGTTTCACCTGAAATAATGATTTGTCATTATCAAAGAAAGATCATAATATGTTTGGTGATTCAATCCAATTAAATGAAAAACATTTAAGAACAGAATAATGGTACGCATATTATTAATTCAACAAGACAGAGTAAGCAAACAATAAACAAGTAAATACATATCTATATAAAAAATGAATAACTTTAGTTCTAATGATCGGATTTTCATGCACGAAATGTTAAACTTGGTACAAAAAGGGTTAACCTTAGATAAATTGAGTGCTGACTATTAATTACAGAACAGAAACGCACCCTCTTTTTCGACACATTTGGGTTTTTGACCATCAAAATATGGGTAGCCACAATCTGAAAAATATGGTTCCTGCGGTTAAATTACTGAGATATTATTTCAGTATTTAAATTACCTCTCGGCCCTGACTCCTTACAGAAGTATAACTCGGGCTCAATATTCGAAAACCTTGGAAGATTATAGGTTGAGAAGCAGTCATCAAACAATATAATGCTTAAATACACCGCATATGAAATTGTCAAATTCAATTCGGCATTTTAAGCCATTACTCGCCCCATATTGAGCTTATGTAGATTTGTTTAATTCTGCCTATAGTTTCAGCCTTAGATTTATATTGCAATTATCTGAGCCTATCTATAGGTACATTCAAGTACAATCCAGACATCTTGATTCACCGGAGAGTTCTAGTAGGATGTTTGTTAATACAGATTTGAGTCCTACTAGGGCCAAAATGAAATTGTTACTAGAGCTTTTATAACATGTAGTGTTATTACATAAATCTTTTACAACAAATCAAAATGTTTAGCATTAAAAATAGAATTTGATTGTTTTACGGCAAGTAATTAGGGAAACTAAAATTCTTTCCTTAATAAACTGAATTTAATAAATGAAGTACTTACTGGAATTAACTGAGTGCCAGCCTACGACTGGAAGTGATTGATTTTGTTGTTGATTATGTGAATAGGATTGTATTCCGGGTAAGCATGCTGGTCTTATTTTGTCTGTAAATATAATTTTATTCACCACTTCCGCTATAGCTAACCCACCACCCAAGATAGGGTGATTAATGAGGAAATATTTGTAAATGTTTTGGATATCGTAGAGTATGCCATCTTTTCCATATTCGCCACCCACAACAGCGAAAAAATTTGCTAGAGACCTGGAAAATAAAGCAAATTACTTTCATTATGATATAGTTTTATCGAATGCAATTAGATTAAAGTTGGCATCAGAAATTAAAGTTGATTCTTCTTAACATTGTTTTTGCGCTTTCAAACTGAATAACGATTTTCAAATGTATTGATTTGCGTTCGAAATGTTCATTTTATTATAGTGATACGCTCGATTACAAATTAGCATTTTAATTAAAATATGTCAATTCTCCAATAAGACTGAGATTCAAATTGATTTTCAATTTTAGTATTAAATATTCCTTTCTGAGTTGTAATAAATTGTAATAAGTTATCAATTTGTTGTGCGTGTGTCTATATATATATATACAGGGCTCGAAAAACCACCCGTCCGCCCGTCCTCGGCGGTCAAAAATTCCCTGCGGACAACAAATATCTCGAATCCGACGCGGACAGCCATTTTCCCATTAATATTCGTGATACATTTTCAATTTTTGTTATCTTACAAGAGTCTAGCGCCTCACTTCTAAAATGACCCTCTAATCTAGAAATACAGCAACATACTGCGCTTGGTGGAATTGATGTTTTCTCTGTCTGGGAGTACTGCAGTGGTTGAAAGAGGCTTTTCAGCAATGAGCTTACAAAAAAACACATTACGTACTGGTCTTAAACAAGAAGCGTTAAACGCAATTATGAACATCCTTGAGTATTTCTGGTTTTTC